GACAGTTTTTCATTTCAATACTTTAAAAACTGTCTTTCTGATTTGAGTGCTTTTTGAAGAAAAATACGTGATCATTCTTATCACTGTTCCCTTTTATATAATGATTTTTTTTAATCTGGTGGCTTTTTAACATGTTTTTATCCCTGGTTTTTAATCCATTTGATTATTACATGCCTTGGTGGGGTTTTCCTTATGCCCTTTTCCTTGGGTTTGTTGAGTTTCTTGAGTAAGTAATGTGAGGGTCTTTATCAACTTCGAAAAAACTCATGGCCATAATTTAGCCATTATCCCTTCAAATAAGTTATTTTTTGAACACTTTAAACTTCGTTTTGTCCTAGGGCTCCAGTTACTTGTGCGTTAGACTGCTTGATGTTGTCCTGCAGGTCACTCAGACTGTTTTTTTTCTCTCTCTTTGCTTCATTGTGGATAGATTCTACTGCTGTGTCTTCAGTTTTACTGACTAATTGTCTGCAATGTCTAATCTGCTGTTTGGAGTGCTGTCTGTCTCTGCACTGTGGCCTGGATACTGGCAGTATGCTAGGTGATATCACATGACTTACTTCCTCTTTGCTCTTGTCTTAGGGAACCACTGTCTGTTCTCCATGGATTGAAAGTTATTTTATAATTTGTTTTTTCAGTTTTCTAGTTGTTTAATGAAGGAGTGCATTTATTTTTGAGGTAGAGTGGAAGTATTCCCTCAGTAGATTTTGATTTTTTCTTTTAATACTGATCTTACGTTGCCATTTTTGACATTCAACTTTATAAACAACTGTTTATTGGGAACCTATTAAGCTAAGCTTTATAGAAACAAAAAGATGAATAAGAACCTGGATCTGTTCTTAAGAAGCAAGACAGCTATGTAAACCAAAAAAAAAAAGTTATCAAGTAAGACAGGACTTGTGGAGGAAATGTTTAAAAGGTGCTGTTAAGGACACGAAAGAAGCATGGGGGAATTTCATCAGAAATAATGTGTGTGGTGCAGAAGAAGATATACACCTATTTTCCATGAGGTTGTGAGACCAGAAATACAGTTACCTTTAACCTGATTATACAGAGTGCCAAGATAAATTCTGTAATCTATTGATAAATTCCTCAAACTAAGGTTACAAAGGCAAACAGAAATGGTACATCTCTTAAGGAGCTGACAATTTCACATAAGTTTGTAAATAAATAAATTGAGGAAACTGTCTTAGGGCTGAATTGGAAGGCATAATAGATAAATGTTGACTTTCAACTGCAGGGGAAGAGGTCAAGTCTATCTAGCAGGAAGTCTTGATTAAGGAGCTTTCCATGGTTCTGATTCAGAAAATTGAGTAGTTTGAATAGTTTTTTTGCTGGGTAGGCTGTGATTTTTTTTGTGTGTGTGGGTAGAACATTATGGGGGAAAAGATTAAAAAGTCTTAAGAGGCATGTGTCAGATTGCGGTGCTCTGTAATCTATAAGAAATTTGAAATGTGAGAACCCAGAGTGAAAAAGAGGTGAATGTAATTAGGAAAACGACTGAAAGGTAAGCAAGAGTCAGTTTTATAGGGTCGAACATTATTTTGGAAGGTTTTATTGCTTGTCGGTTAGTCAACAGTGCACAGGTTGGTAAATTCATTACTTCCAGATTTCTTTTTTAAACATAGGCATGGATAGTGGTGCCCTTCACCAAAACAGTCAATACAACAGCAGGAGCTTTCTGGGGTGGGGGGGTTAATTTCAGATTTTTAGGTTTTATGTTCCCAAGGATGTTTACTTAAAGGAATTAAACATTTAATATAATGTCTGTTCTATAGTTTATGGAAGAAGCTTAATTAAAGATAAAGTTTTGGGATTTATCAGCTATAGGTTATTGCCAAAATTATTAGTGTAGATTAAATAATCTAGAGCAAACGTAAGGAGGGCTAGAAGATGACCTATAAAGGTAGCCCTTGGAAATAATGCTTAAGGAGGAATGAGGAAAAACAGAAGAAAATTAAGTCTCAGAAGCCAAGGGAAGTGAGAATTCCTTGAAAAAAGTTAACAGTGTTACATAAATTTAATGTATGATAAATGACAAGAACAATTTGCTGGACTGAGTACTTAGGAGGTCACCGGTAACATTTGCTAAGTGAAGAAGTGAAGGTGAAATTTAAGATGACAGAAGGAAGATTAGGTGATAGAGACTAAGGCTGAAGATAAATTACTCCCCAGGAAACCTACCTGTGAAGGGAAGAAGACGAAGATTGTTCAAAGAGAGACATTGGGTAGAAAATTATTATTTTTAGGAGGTAGAACACTTAAATATATTTTTAGCCTTTGTTGTAAGAACTAGTAGAGAAGGAGAGGTTGAAAATTTGGCAGGAAATAATCTTAATGACAGTGTGAGTATGGTGAGACCATCTCTTCCCTACACAGTTGGTGGGTGTATAAGTTGGTATAATCTTTCTGAAAAGCAATTTAATAACGTGTATAAAGAGCCTTAAAAATACAGTTTTTGACCCCGCAAGTCTGCTTTTGGAATTTTACCCCATGGATAGAATCAGAGATGCAGGTAAAGATTTAGGTGCAAGGGCGATAATCACTGCATCATTTATAATAATGAAAAATAGAAACAATCTTCATGCTCAACAGAGGAGGCACAGCTATATAAATTATAGTGTATTCACAGAGTATTAGGCAACCATTGAAAATCTTACTTTCAAAGACTTTCAAATAATTGAGGGGAATGTCCTTGAAATGCACTGTTGAGTGAAAAAAGAGAAGCAAACAAACAAACAAAAACTGAGTATAGAATGTAATCCAATGCTGAAAATAGAAATATAAATCTTAAAAGGAAAAATACAGAAATGAGGAGGAAAAACTAGAATGTTGTGCAATGTTTCAGTATAAACTTAAGGAGGCTAGAACATAATAGTGACTTAAGGTGACTTAGTTTTAAGTGGAGAGATGCCTCTACCTAAACTGGAGAAATAGGATATTATAGATGTGGGGAAGAAATTAAAGTATTTTTGTGGTGTTGTTAAATGAGAGGCAAGTCCTTCATCACCATCACAAACCCATAATATCAGTAACATACATTGAGGGCTAATTATGTGTCACATTTTGTGTTGCATGTTGTTAATACTCACAGTAGCTACTGTGAAAGATATGTAAGCCAAGGCATGGAGAAGATAAGAAGTTACACACAAGGAAACGGTGAAGCCAAGGTCCATGCCCAGTTCTGTTTGTCTCCACAGTCCAATTCAGAGCCTTCTGCTGAGAGAGGAGCCTTCGTAAGGGAGGCTCAGACTTATATTATAGTCACTGTGAGGAAATTGAAGGGAGCAGAAATAAATAGCAAAAAAGTACCAAAGATCATCTTAGAATCACTTACTCGGACTGCCACCAGTTCACAAAATTCTATGTTATTTTCTCCAAATGCAGTTACATGCCATGGTGTAGGAGAGGAAAGGAGAGAAGGTTGGATTAATTCAAAGTTATGGTTTACTAGGGAGATTCATTGAAAAAAGTAGGGTTTTAAAAGTTTGAGGATGTTGGCAATGAAAAAAGCCAAATGGGATCTAAGCCTAATACGAGATACAAGAATTTAATAAGGGACTGAAGGAGCATGATAAAAGAGAAGGGTGGAGGGAGGGACTGCAGTACTGGAGAGGGGAAAGGATGTAGGGGAAAGGGCTGATGCACTTTGTTGGCATTCAGAAGGCTGAGGACTTTGAAGTTACACGGTTAGGTAGTTAGAATAGCTGTGAAAAATTATGTGAAAAAAATGAATGATGACATCATCTCTATGACGGTAGAAATCAGGTGTGGAGATAGACTGTGAGGCATGTTCCAAAGTGCTTAGTAGATTCAGTGGAGTGACCAGAAGATCTCTAGATGATAAAAATGTGAGCTAGGGCAGAGGTGGGAAAGTGGGGTGACATGAACCTCAAAGGATGGAAGGGGTATGCATGAGGATCAACGAGATGAATATCTAGGATTAGCAAAGAACACTACACGAATGATCCTGGCCTTTTTAAGGAAAGGAAAAGGGATTTTTCTTTTATATATAAATATAAATATAAATATATTTATTGAAGTATATTCAGTTTACAGTGTATCAATTTCTAGTGTACAGCGTAATGTTTCAGTCGTACATGAACATACATATATTTATTTTCATATTCTTTTCACCATAAGTTACTGCAAGGTATTGAATATAGTTCCTTGTGGTCTATAGTATAAACTTGTTGTTTATCTGTCTTATATATGTAAATATTAGTTAGTATCTGCAAATTTGAAACTCCAAATTTATCCTTTCCCATCCACTTCCCC